AGTAGCCTTATGCATGAGAAAGTTTCGCAGCCACTGTGAATCATTCCATACCTGCAACACTATGCAGTCCCACCAGTCTGTGCTTGTTTGCCTGGCCCAGAATTGGTGTTCCACTGTATCGACCAGCCCGACTGCCGCCATGATGTCCCCGTGCTTTCAGGAACGTCTGTGTCCATGTCCTCATCAAAATCCTCCTTGTGCTGGCATCTCTTAGCCCGGTTCTCCAGGATAATGCGCAAGGTGTTTACAATGCTCACAACAGCAGCGGTGACAGTGAGCTGAGCGGGCTCCATGCTTGCCGTGGTATGGCGTCTGCAGGAGAGCAGAGTTGCAGCGGAAGTGGTGGATGACAATGGTTAGCAGTCCTACTGCACCATCTGCTGACAGCAGCACCCAGGAGGACCAGAACGGATCCCCCGAACTCATCCCTGGAGAGCAGAGTTGCAGCGGAAACGGTAGATGATGATGGTTAGCACCGCGCACATTTCAGACACCTTGGAGAAATTTGCTATTGAAACTGAGCTCATTTACAAGAGCAGGAAAGCAGAGTTGCAGCAGAAGCGGTGGATGACGATGCTTAGCACCGCGCACATTTCAGACAACATGGAGAAATTTGCTATTGAGACTGAGTTCATTTACAAAAGCAGGAGAGCAGAGTTGCAGCGGAAGTGGTGGATGATGACGGTTAGCAGTCCTACTGCACCGTCTGCTGACAGCAGCACCCAGGACACAGCAGCAGTGAGGGTGAGCTGAGCTGAGCTGAGCGGGCTCCATGCTTGTCATGGTATGGTGTCTGCATGGAAAAAAGGCACAAAACGATTGTCTGACGTTGCTTTCACGGAGGGAGGGGCAACTGATGACATGTACCCAAAACCACCCGCAACAATGTTTTTGCCCCATCAGGCATTGGGAGCTTAACCCAGAATTCCAATGGGCAGCGGAGACTGTGGGAACTGTGGGATAGCTACCCACAGTGCACCACTCCATAAGTCGATGCTAGCCAGGGTAGTGAGGACGCACTCTGATGACTTAATGCGCTTAGTGTGGACCTACGCAATCGACAGTATAAAATCGATTTCTAAAAATCGACTTCTATAAAATCGACCTAATTTCGTAGTGTAGACATACTCTCTGTTATGAACTGCTCTTTTAGGCCTCGTCTACCCACAATACGGGTATAGTTAAAGTTGTATAACCCTCCTAATGTGGATGCAGGTATAGTGTTATGAAGATAAAGGAGAATAATGATACCCGTGTAAATTACTGTGATACCTGTATAAGTGTGTCCACACTATGGCTTCTCCTGGTATAAGTATATTGTAAAAAATCACACCCCTACTGACATAGTTCCACCGGTAAAACTTCTAAGTATAGAATATGCCCTAGGCCTTCCTCTTCTGATCAGGTGCTGAGATAGACTGTGGGGTGGGGAGGGAACTGGAAAAAAATCATCCAAAAATGAACGTTTTTCCAACAGCTCTATTTATTAGCACAGACCTTCTACCTTCTAGGCCCCATACGCACCCTCAGCTTGGCTGTAGTTGCTCTGCTCCTGCCAACCCACCTCAGTCCACCTCATACTCATAAGGACACAATTTTCCCCTTAGTCTTGTGTTCAACTAAGCTAATTTTTATAGTTAACGCCCTCTCCCCCTTTATATGCAGCTATTCTTTGACTATTGGGTCACTGAGTTAAATTTGTATCAGGCTTGATACTGCAGCCCTCATCATGCAAAATGCTCATCTAAATCAGTGGGAGTTCTGAGGATATAACATACAAGGATTTGTAGCATGAGGTTTGTCATCTGTATTCTATAGTGTCCTTTTTTCTTTGCTCCTCTGTAAGAGCCAAATAAATGTGTGCTGCTCTCACTGATTTAAAGGGAAGAATTTGGCATTAAAGAGAAGACTCTGACTCTCTCTCTCTGTGTAATCTTTGCTTTTTTTAGTTTGTTTATATCTGTTTTTTTTAGTCACTTTTGTATGATGCTATTACAGAAGTTATTATTAATACATTAATTAATAAGGCTGGAACCCCAGTCCAATAAGGTACTGATGTCCCTACACTTCCACTGGAATCAATAGGAATTGAGAAGTGAGTGTACAACACACTGCAGGATCAGCTGAAACAACTATAGTTTAAAACAGTGGTTCTCGAGCAGGTTTCAGGGGGGCCGCCAAGCAGGCCAGCATTAGCCTTGCTGTGGCCCAGGGCAGAAAGCTGAAGTCCCACCACAGGGGGCTGAAGCCCAGGTCCCTGAGCCCTGCCACCCAGGGCTGAAGCTGAAGCCTGAGCAATGTAGCTTCATGGGGGCCCCTGTCGCAGGGGGCCCCAGGCAATTGCCCTGCTTGCTAACCCCTAACACCGGCCCTGACTTTTATATGCAGAAAACCAGTTATTGTGGCGCAGGTGGGCCGAGGAGTTATTATAGCATGTTGCGGGGGCCTCAGAAAGAAAAAGGTTGAGAACCTCAGGTTTACAAGACTGCTGACGTGCCTTTAATTTAGAGCAGGGATCGGCAACCTTTGGCACACGGCCCGTCAGGGAAATCCGCTGGCGGGCCGGGACGGTTTGTTTACCTGCACCGTCCACAGGTTCGGCCAATCGCAGCTCCCACTGGCCGCGGTTCACCATTCCAGGCCAATGGGGGGCTGCGGGAAGTGGCAGCCAGCACATCTCTTGGCCCGCACCGCTTCCCGCAGCCCCCATTGGCCTAGAACAGCGAACCGCGGCCAGGAGGAGCTGTGATTGGCCGAACCTGCGGATGCTACAGGTAAACAAACCATCCTGGCCCGCCAGCAGATTTCCCTGACGGACCGCGTGCCAAAGGTTGCCGATCCCTGATTTAGAGGCTTGTGATATTGCAACGTGATGTAGTTTGACACCCAAAATTACAAACGTTGCAAAAGTTTGACAGCAGGCTTCATGGCACAAGCATTCCTTTTCACAGAACCATTAGAAAAGGTAGGAAACCTAAGTATATGGTACCAAACCTCCCAAATGAGGTACAATTAGAGGTGGCCAAGACTTGCAGTGGATTTGCTTTGCACAAAGCTTAATTTAGTATAGATCCCTGAAGGATTTCTTTTGAATTTGGGGTTTGATGTATCCAACAACTCAAAGTAAAACCATCAACTATCACTTGGTTTCTCATTAAAATCACGTGAAATCACGATGCATAGCCATAAATCTGGTTAGGATTGTTCACTATTAAGTCTTAGCAAATCTCTCAATGATCCTGTTCTTGATATTAAATTTCTAGTGAAACCCAAATCTAGGTGAGTTTTGCATGACTTTGAGTTTCATATCACAAGTTTTGCATTCATCAGTTGTTTCTCCAGTGTGTTGTACATTACTTATAGTTTTTGCATGTGTGAAATTACCACTACACAACTGATTGCAAAACACATTCAAAACTCTGCAAAAGAACCAAGCCTATCAGACAAATGGTAAATCTACATGGTGAACATGGATAGACTGGTTCACCTGCATTCCTAGCTCCAGCAAGCTTCTGGCTAAACTCATGCCTTTCCTTTAAGAATTTAATATCCGACTTAGTGTCCTTGTGATATTACCATTTCCCCCCCAGCAGTAACAATTCAACAGTTCAGCAGAGCAGAAAGCAGTCTTATCACCATGTTTGATCTCTCCAATTGTTCTGCAAACTAACTTACAGGCTGAACAAACAAGGTCATCAATGAATAACCAAAAAACAGTAACCACCTCTCTACCAACATGCATCTTTGCACACACAGGATTCACTGCTAGTTTCAGCTGTTTCAAAGCACCGTTGACTCAGCATCCAGTCTTTTTAGCGCAGTGTTGTGTCCCATTGTCTATATCAGCACCTCTGACCTAATCATGAAACACAACAGACCCTAATTTAAGTGGTTGAGAAAGGGAGAGTGAAGGTTGAGTTGGTGGAAATTTTTTCAACAGAGCAGTTTTCATGCAGGAAACATTTAATGGGAATGTATCAATTTAGTGAAAAAGTATTTGAAAATTTCATTTTGATAAGGTTGAAGCGCTTCATTTCAACTTCAATATGATTGGTTCAATAGTTCCAATTTTTATATATAAATATGGAAATGACCTTTTTGAAGGGCTACATATCAAAAAGGTCATTTCCATATTTCCAAAACTATTTTTCCCCAGAAATTTTGTTTTGTAGGAAATTTTGAAATTTGGACTTTTTGCTCCAAATCGGGATGAAAGGGAAATTTCGGAACGTCAGGATTCTTCGCGGAATGGAACTTCTGAGTGTCCCGCGGCTGTAGTTAAGAGCATGGGACTCAGTCAGTTTGCATGTTACCGTGTTGGGTCTGGAAGGGGGAATCTGGAGAGCCACCCTGTGGTTTCTTTAAATTGGGCCAGGAAGCAGTAGAACAAAAGGAGAAGCCGATCCGTGCTTCCCACACTTCTCTTGCTCCTCGTGGCGTCTTGGACAAACTCTTGAGGGTGGGTTTTTTTTTTTTTTTTTTTTTGCTTTTTATTGCTTGCGCGCTCTCTCTCTCTCACTGTCTGCGAAGCGGATGCTGCTTTCCAGTCTGCTCTCTCCACCCCCTACCCCAAGTCCTGGCAGGGCGCCAAGTGCAGGCGCAGCGCGTTGTGCATCTCAACTACTCCCCTCTGGTGACTGCACCTTCCAGTGCGCGCAGCAGCAGCAGCAGGGGGAGAGGGGAGGAAGAGAGGGTGCGATCATCACAGCCCACCGCCACATAAATCCAAGGGGGAGAGGAAAATGGCAGCAAGATGCAATATCTGCCATAGCCCAGGCGGCGTGTGACCGCCATGCAGGCGGCTCCGGTGGACTGACTGGCGCTCTGTTCCTGCTGCCTCCCCCCCACCCGCAGCCCCTCTTCCTCTGCACGTACGGAGCGGCTCCCCGGCTTGCGAGCGCACGCGGTGAGTGGAGCGAGGGGGTGGGTGTCTCTGCTCATGTCTGTGTAGCTGGCACATTCCTGCAGAGCCTCCCTGCGCGGCTGTGTGGGGGGACAGGCTCCGCGTGGCTGCGAATGGCGGGGGAGCTGAGCTCCCCTCCACCCGGGCAGTGCTCAGAGAGAGGGGACCCCCGCACCACCACCGCTTCGGCCAAAGGCAGCAGAAGCAAGGCAGAGGGGGGCCATGCCTGGACGGGGATAGCTCTGGCTTTATAGGCGCTGCTGGTAGGTTGTTATTTTGTCCTGTGTGTGACTTGTAGCTATTCTGAGGGGTGAAGTAGAGGGTAGAGAGTTTAAATGGGAATTGCCTGAATGGGCCAGCAGCGGGGTGAGTGATGCCCATTTAGGGGTATTAAAAGCAAACGCCGCTGCATAACTTATTTTAGCTTTATCACTGCACATGCAGGTCTCATCAACAACATGCACCTTTGAGTGACAACAGCGTCCAGCCCCACCCTAAGCCCAGCAGCTACAGTGGTCCTGTGATTTCTCTTGGTAGGGTTATCCCGAGTTACTGTAAATTTCTGATTGGTAACAGGTTCATATGAGGATATAGACACGAGGCGCTAGGCTAGGGGAACCTTGATAAAATGAAATAAAACGATCTGGTTTGAACAAGGAAATGTTTTGGTGCCGTCAACAATGGTCTCTAGGGAGATGTGTTTGATTTTCCAAACCCCAGAGACCCACTGAAGGCAAATACATAAATTGCACCTGTATGTATCCTTTCTCAAGGGATGACTTGTTAAATACTTGGAAATCACCTAATTGTAGCACAGTTAGCAGGACTTTAGACAACGGGTCTGTTGTTCATTGAGAGAGATTTGGGTATTGGGAAAAAGTAGTTTTGATCTTTTTTTCTTTTCTTTCTGATTCATGTATTTCTCCAGAAAATCAGAAGAAGAAAACACCTTTTTTTCCCAAGTGGAAACTGCATTTTAGCTGAAATGTAGTGGGAATTCCTAGTCTATTTCAAACTGTGCTTAGAAACTAATACATAGTCCAGTGGTTTAACGATGGTGGTGGTATCTCTAATGTGTTTGTTGACAATATTTAAGTTTTTGAAATAAACTATGCAATAGAAAATAAAGCAATAGCATTGTGAAACCCTTATAACTTAGCCATTTAATATACATTTTAATCTATTTTAACATTCCCATTTTGGTGGCTTTTTAATAGTAAGTATACTAAGTAAGGAGTTTTAAATTAGAGAGATTTATAAAACCTTTATACATTAACTAACATTGTCTTAGAGATATTCAGCAAGATTTCTGGTTAATATTTCTGTGCATTCTATTATTTATAGTAAAACATAGTTTTAGTAGTTGCTTACCCAATATGTTTCTGTGAATGCTAGGTTGATATTTAGCCCTCATATTTGCTTGCCAACATGATGTTTTAACATATCATATGAATATAGAATTCATGTATTTGCAGTCACCTTTCACATCAGAGATACATATCTAAAATATAACTGAGGCTGATACACAAAAACATAGTAGTTTTGTCCAGATAACATTCTTCTTCTAACTGGATTTGACTATAAAATTCTCTTCAGTGGATCAACTCCTGTAATCTTTATCCATGTGAGTGAGATCTATATGCATGAGCAGGAATTCATAGGATGGGGTTGTATATTTCCATTTTTGTGTGTCCAGTTATTGATAATTTTGACAAGTTATAACAAATCTGATAATTTTATGAAGGTTGAGTGATTTAATACTCTTCAAGACCACATTAATTTGGGGAATGTCTGTGTTTTAATATTGTGAAATCACCAATAGCAGACAGCCTTGGAAAGGGCAAAAAGTGCATCAAGGAAATGATTTAGCCTTTATAGTGTTCATAATTTCCAGCCAGCATGCTTTTAAGCATTTCATTTTAAATTACAGGAAACAATCAGTGATTACATTTACCGACACGTTTAATAAACAAAAGATACAATCTGTAATAGTCTAAGAGTAAAGTGTTGATCTTCATTTAGGACAAATGGTGAGAGAGAAGATGAAAGGTAAGAAGCCTTTTATCCATTGAGCGAGGGAAGGGGAATGTCAGTTGATTGATTAGCCATTTTTCTTGAAATTGGAATTAATTGAGTAGTGCAATATAAATCAGCTATCATAGTCAATGCGTGTGGATTTCCAGGATATAGCGGGATTAGTGTATTATTATAAAGGTATACTATAGCCACCAAGTTCATGGAAGGGCAGTGCTGTCTAGTGAGAGTGCTCCTTTTTCATTACTACGTCTCTTAGGTAAAGAAAAGCATAACTGAAATTTAATTCCAGAAATAAACTGAACAATACACATTATTTTATAGTTTCCCATAGTAATCTATAAATATTTTACTTATTATGAAACATGGATTGATTGGGGTGTGATGTTTGTACCACTCACTGCTGAATGGATAACTTGATGCTTAGTCTTCCGTTCTCTCATTAATAATCTAATTATAGGAAGAGGCTGGAAAGAATATTGAATGAAGAGTTGTTCCCAGTGGACTTGTAGAGGAAGTCACTTTAAAGTAGAACAATATTTTAACAATTCTGGCCATAACTTCTTATTCACAATCGGCCAGATTTTCAAAACAGCTCTGCTCCCATTTTAGCACCAAAATAAATGGCCAGATTTTCAAAAGAATTCCTCATATTAGGTTCTGAGCTCTTTCTCTCTCTCTTTTTTATTTTTAAACATGGCCGTAAGTGCCACAGTCCGAGCTCCTCAGTGTAGCACAGAATTTGGCTCCTATTTGTGGGTGCTTTGCTCTTGAAAAACTGCCCCTAAGCTTTTTTGAAAATCTGATCCCACAGTTGTAATCAATTTCCCTCTTTACTAAAATGTATTCTGGAGGAGACTTTTTTTTTAACAGGAGGTAGAATTGTAGGAGTAAAATATAGCAGCTGTAAAGAAAGCCAGTAAAAGTATTTTAATTTTTTATGTGGAAAGCCAGCAGATTTAATGTTCTATAGCTATACGATGAACACTTATGAAAAAATATTAGAATTGTAATAGAAAATGTAAGTAGTGCTTAATCACTGAACAAAAATAATAGATAATGAGAAAAAATAGCTTTTTCCTGCTTTAACTATACATTTGAGGGAATGCTGTAAAGGATAATAATTGGGGGGGAAAAATAGATTGATCCAGATCCTGAAACAATGCCAATTTAGACCAACAAAGGTTCTGGCCTAGTTTGAGTTTTCTTCGCTTTAGAGCAGTGGTTTTCAACCTTTTTTCATTTGGGGACTCCTAAAAAGTTTCAAATGGAGGTGCAGATCCCTTTGGAAATCTTAGATATAGTCTGTGGACCCCCAGGGGTCTGCGGACCCCAAGTTGAAAACCACTGCTTTAGAGCATCAGTTTTCCTAGTTAATAAACCAGCAAAACAAAAAAAGGTGTGGCACCTCTGAAGAACAAAACTGAGTATTTTCACTACATAATTGGAAAGCTTTAGAAATTATGGAACAGATTCTGATCTCACTTATCCCCCTGTAAATCACAGTGAGGTCTACTGTGAAATTACTCTACATTTATAGTAAGGTAAGTGAGTTCAGAACCCAGCCCTTCGTATGGAGAACTAGCATAGTTACATTAGAAGTAAAGCCACTGGGTCCTATTTTGATCTCATTGAAACCAGTTTTAAACTGATTTAACACCATTATTATCTTCAGGCCAGTTTCTTCTAGTTTACACCCATGTAAGTAAGATCAGGAATTATTTCAAAAGTTCTGGTCACAATCACTTGATCAATTGTACTCTCTTTATTTTTAAGGTTGTATTAATGTTTGCTGAATGACGAGAAATGGTAGTTATCTGCCTACATCTGTGGTCCAGTAATTAATCAGAACTCACTGACACTATGCACAAAGAACAGAAATGAAAATTGCTTACTGCATGTCTGGAAGTATGTCCTCTGTGGGGTGTTTGCTTTTTCTACGACTTGTTTGTGGCATGAAGATTAATTAGCTAATTCTCTTTGAAGATGAAAAATGTAATATTAGGGTAACTATAATTCAGAATTGTTGTGATTAGTTTTTATTAAGGGAAACTGGTTGTGTATTCACAAGTTTGAAGATCAAAATTTAACATTCAGGCTACAGATGATTGTTAAAGGATGTTTAAATTGTGTATTTAAGTGTGTGCAGAATGGCCGGTTGATGTCCTCCACAGAATCAGACCATTAGTAAGGACCAGCTTGTTTCTAAACCATCTGGTGCTTTTGGAATTTGTGTGTATGGCATGGGGGTAGAATGGAGCTGAAAGGGGGAATTGTGGTGTAAGGTAAGGTTCTGTCATTGTTCCTTTAAACTACCATGCAAATATATTTGCATTTAGAGTTTCCAGGCAAGCCAAAATGTAGGACTAGTACTGAATGCTAAATGAAATCTGACAGCTAAATCAGAACATGCCACATAATGATCTTGAGATTTCCTTAGTAGAATAATCTTTCTGAAAAATTTTGCTCGGAATGAATATAGTCCTGGTTAAAAGCTAGTTCAAAACAATGGCAGGTGGAAAAAATGAGGCTGGAATTTTATTCTGTTTAAAATCTTTCTCCTCTTCAAAGGTGTTTACACCTTTGTTACCTTTGCTGTCTGAAAAACGGGGGTAATGATACTAACCTCTGTGGCAAAGCACTTTGAGATCTACTGATGAAAAGCAACATATACGTGCTGTATTTATTTATTTATATATTTCCTTGTGATGGCTGGAAGATTCACACAGGTTGTAGAAATGAAGACCCATCTTTGCTCATCAGTCAGTCATATAGTGCAGGCAGCCACAATGCACTCCTTTGTGTTGATCAGGTTGAAACTCAATCTGCCTGAGAGACTGAAGGATGATTTGAAGCTTATTTTGATTAGTAAGAGATACATCACTACATAAAATCTCTTACTCTGTATGTGTGCACAAATGAAGCAGCAAATTTTTATGGGAAACTTGGTGGTGTATCTCCTAGATAAGAATAATGTTTCTTTGCAATCTTGCCACCCTCATGCAAAAAGCAAGATGGTGACACTGAAAAGGGTCCGTTTTGTTCTTTCATGCTAGGAACTTCAGTCTGTGGATATTTCCATTGAGAAACAACATAGAGACACCTGAAGTGAACTTAAGGGTAGAAAAAAAGGCACAAAAATAACATTTGAGGAAAATTAACACACATACTTAATGTGGGGGAATACCTTGGGAAATAATAGTACTGAAAGAGTCCTGAGGGTTATAAC